TTTATTAACCTTTCGAAATCATCTAGACAAAGAACAAACAAAAAGGCATTCACCTTCTTTTAATTACAAATGTTGGCGACTTTCAGGAATATACTTTTCACTAACACCGTAAAGCTATATCGAATTCCATTCCACTATAACTGCTACGGTATCATCGTTAGTACGAATTTAATGAAATGGAAGATAACCCTTTAGCGAGAATATAGCAAAAATACCAGTAATATATTTTTATAAAATAAAATGACCAACGGTAGGTATTTATACTTAGATGATTAGATAGGCGTGGCAGAACATATCGAAATTCTACCTAGACAATAAACTGTAGATAGTTAAAACAACTACAGTAGAATGGCGTTAGAAACGCTAAAATAGAAGAGAGGAAGAAGTGATTATGTCCAGTCTTCATGTGAATTAAAAAAAGGAATAACCTCCGATATGTGTGGCATGCCAAGAGATATTCACCATAAAACACATTAACTGCAGCAATTTTAATTTAATCAGACTATTATAACCCATTCGTATATCCTAGAAAAAGGAGGATACTTCTGTATGTGTGGCATACCAAGAGACATTCATAATAAAACACATATTGACAAACTGCAGCAATTTTAATTTAATCAAACCAAATAACAAACTTAGAAGAACTTTTTTCAAAATAATGATTCCGTTTATATATTCCAGTTTCTAAGAGAAATTAAACAGATTTTAAAATAATTTAAGTATAACTAACAGTAGCCTAACTAGTTAAAAAAATGATTATTAAATACAACGCTTTATTTTGAAAAAAACATTAAATTTCGGTATTAAATGACCCAATAGGTTGATATACCGTAAAACAAACAAAATCAAAATCAAACCATTCCATCATCTTGGCCAAGAAATCAAAACAATTCACAGAAGTTAAAAGAAACGTAATATCTGGAACAACAAGATCCCCAACTTTTGTGACGTACTCTGTGATAATTAAGTATAACTCAAGACTTCAATGCTAAATAAAACAGTATTTTATCACAACCGCAAATAAATACTTAACAAAAACAAAGAAGTAAAAGCCAACAAAAGATAATTAACCATTTCAGTGAATACCTTGTTAGTAGCGCGGCTCGGCTTAACGTCCAGTACATCCTAAATCAAAACTCAAATCATCGACGCACAATAATTCACACTAATTCGACTGGATAGTTGCACACAATGGTCACTCAATAATCACTGCAATCAGTAGCCTGACATCGCTATTTATACACTTGGTGGAAAACATATTCCTAAGTCCAGAGTGCCACGTTCGAACCTCGGTGTCGGTAGTTACTCGTTTTCTTCCTGTATGACACCAACACAATGAAGGTCTAAGAAACGGTAACATTAGAATCGACAAAAAGATTCTTCAGAGACTTTATTCGTCAGGATAAAAACTGACCTAAAGGTAGCCGTCAAAAAATCTAAGAAAAGAAATGCTTATTCTACCTTGGCTTAGACATGCTGGTGTATATATTAGATTTTTACATATATCCGTTTGTTTGTTTTTCTGATAATCTGCGAATAATCTTTCGTAACATGCTTTTTTGAGGGGTGGGGGGTTGTAACATTGTGTTGTCTAACGTTATTGAAATTTACTTTCAGATTAGGCATGTAGATAAGAATGGGCATGTTTGAGATCTTCTCTTGGTTTTTGATCAAGGTGCCAAAACTGTGAAAGCTGCTCGAGATATTTGTGTTGTGTACGGAGATGAAATGCTTCAAAACATCTAAACAGTGAATGCAAAGCTGTATGTTGAACAAATGAACGGGCTCAAGGGGGTGGGGGGGGGCAATTCAGATGAAAAGACCTGACCGGCGATCCCGTGTGGTTATTCAACACGACAATGCTCGCATCCACGTTGCTAACTTGATCAAACATGCAGTTAAAGAGCTTGGTTAGGAAGTTCTGTCACACGCACATCTGATTTATCCTTGTTAGATTACCGAATTTTTCGGCCGTTTTCTAATAATTTAAGGGGTGTTCTGTTCAACAACGACGTGGAGCATAAAACGTGGCATGATCAATTTTTCAACTCTAAATTTAATGATTTCTATCGACGAGGCATTGAACAGTTAGTGGGTCCTTGACAGGAGGTCGTAAAAAATGAAAGGAAATGCATTGTTGAATGCTGCATATGAACTATTCATGAATAATAATAATATGTATGAAAATGAGCGAATTTATGTAACAATATATATATATATATATATATATATATATATGTGTGTGTGTGTGTGTGTGTATTTAGGCAGCAATCCTTCTTTCATGCACATTTCATCGAATAGGACAGTTTTTATTTAGTTTGTTATACAATTTCCCATGCGATCTAATAATTTTTTCTCTCTGAATGTTCTTTTTATCCGAGCGCTTTCGGCTATACATTTAACCATTTTCAAGGACTAAATATTTTGACTGTTAAATAAGAAATAGTTTGTTGTATACTATTTACATTATTCGGACTACAGTCCTCATATCTGTCGCCATATTTATTACAACGTTTCGGCCGTTGTAGGCTCCGGCCTTCTTCAGGTGGTTTCGCTCACTGGAGTAGACTGTTCTAGTTCCACGTGTCATGTTTAATGGATGTCAGTTATCAGTTATCTCCTGTTAATTCTCCTCTGAACGTTCTCCACTGCCTTAATCGGGTATTGAACTCACACTCTTGGGTCCTGTCATTGGATCTAACCAACGCCTTTATCCACTGTGCCATGCGTTGTTGATGTTGTTTGTTGCATGTATGTTTTATAAAATGTTTTCATTTTTCAAAACACAGTCAACATATTGTGCCTATGTTCATAGCTGACAGTGTTGTTTTTTGTTTTATTAATATGGCTTCCATTATATATATATATATATATATATATATATATATATATATATATATATATATATATAAAAATGCTTATGAGTTAAAATGCTATATACATATTGAAATGTATATATATATATATAATATATATATATATATATATTAATCGATAGCATTTTAAAACATAGGCTTGTCGATTTTGCTGCACAAACACATACAAACATTTCTACTTACATATAGGTTATGTGTGTGTAAATCTGTATCTGATCATGTATGTGTGTGTTGTGTGTCGAAATAAGCCTGGAAATGTCGTTTTGCACAGCGAATGAAGAAAATATCTTTCAAGCAAGCTATGAACAAGACAAAGAAATACTCTTGTGTTTTAACGAAGTGCGTTTGTCGTTGTTTTTATTTAAATACATTTTATACTTCTAAAATTTCTTTCCGAATGTGTGAAAGCAAAAGAGGGCAAAAAAGAAGAAGAAGAAGAAGAAGAAGAAGAAGAACAACAGCAACAACAACAACAACAATGAAAAAATGTATGTAAAATTGACGAAAACTAAAATTTCCTCAATTTCTTGTCGATCTAATCTCTCGATGGGCGGGTGTGATAGCGAAATATCTGGAAAGAAGTTGCTGCTTCTTTATTGTTTTCGCCACAGGGATTTTTTTTTCCTAGAAATTTACATCAACTTTACATTATATATTGTGCTAATGACTTTGGCTTTTGTCTTACATTAGATTCTATCTACCGATCGATCGATCATTCAAACTATCTATCTATTTATCTGTCTATCTATCGATAGATAGAGAGGAAGAGAAAGAAAGAGAAGAATAGACTACCCCCTTAAATATACATATATGTAGATTGGAAGACAATGCATACAGTAAGATATCTAGCTACCTGAGTCTATTCACATCTATCTATCTATTTATCTATCTATCTGAAACTGTTCAGATCTATCGATTTATCTATCTATGTGAAACGTTTCACATCTACCTATCTCACTATCTATATGAGTCATTCCAAATCTATTTGAAACTGTTCACATATATCTATATATCTATCGATTGATCTGTCTATCTATAGAGAGATAGAGATAAATATATATATAGAGAGAGAGAAAGAGAGAGAAATGCATTGACTGGCACCCTTAAAAAAATTATGAATAGATTGAAAGACAAAGCGTCCACTGAGATTTCTATATATCCCAGTCTATTCATATCTATCTATCTATCTATATATCTATCCATACTTATCTATTTCAGACTGTTTGATTTATTTATCTAATGTATATCGACGAAAAAAGATAGATATTAGATGCAGTAACTTATATATATATATATATATATATATACACAATTAGATTGAAAGATAATGCGTACATTGAGATGCAGCGACTGATTATCAACTCATTCTGGATTATTTAAATCCAAAATATACGTTAGATTATAAAAATAATGGATTTATCATTGCCAGTTTAATATTGAATTAGCATTATATTGAAAGAAATGTTTTACAATAAGAATATATACCATATACTATTTAACCCATATATGAAGGATATTTGCGAGTAAGAGTAGGTGAAGAAGAAGATAGGCATATCCACAGACCAAGATAGATAGATACTGAATTGAAATAGAGAGGAAGATGGACGAGCAATAGACCAGTATAAATAATGACTTGACCAAGATAGATAATGAAAAGACTTAGATAGATAGATAGATAGATCGAGGAGAGAAAGAGAAGGGGAAAAGATCCTGATAGATAGATAGATAGATAGATAGATAATGATAGATAGATAGATAGATAGATAGATCGAGGAAAGAGAGAGAAGGGAAAAAGATCCTGATAGATAGATAGATAGATAGATATAAACATATTGATTAACTGAACAAAATGAAATTGGATGTTCTAATACCTAGACGGTTAGGGACCAACGCCATTAGTAACCATATACTAAGTCACGAAGACATATTTAAGAATAATAAAAAAAAATGACAATAAAGCTACATGATCAAAATTCGATAGATCTAATCGAGACGAAACCATGAGGTCGATTTATTGATTTACTGAGTCTGTTTCAATAATAGGTAATTCATCCATAACTGCTTCCTAATTTCGAAAATCGTGTACTTTTTCGTATCTTTGGCCATCAAGAATATTGTCGATAAATGAAGAGGCGCGTTGTAGAAGTGGCAGCTTACCTCCAGCGCCTCTTCTCAATTAAACTGGACTGTTCGCTGGCCTTACTGACCATTATTTGCACTCTTGACTATTCGGAGAGACACAAGCGTGAACAGTGTTCAAGAAACTTTCGCGTGCCGATAATTAAGGCTCTTTCAATGTTAGAAGCTGGCAGTCTGCTCATTATCTATCTATCTATTTCAGGCTCTTCATTATCTATCTATATATCTATCTATTTATTTCAGGCTCTTCATTATCTATCTATCTATTTCTGTCTCTTCATTATCTATTTTAGTCTCTTCATTATCTATCTATTTCAGTCTCTTCATTATCTATTTTAGCCTTTTCATTATCTATCTATTTCAGCCTTTCATTATCTATCTATCTCAGTCTCTTCATTATCTATCTATCTATTTATCTCAGTCTCTTCATTATCTATCTATCTATCTATCTATTTATCTCAGTCTCTTCATTATCTATCTATCTATCTCAGTCTCTTCATTATCTATCTATCTATCTCAGTCTCTTCATTATCTATCTATCTATCTATCTCAGTCTCTTCATCTATCTATCTATCTATCTATCTCAGTCTTTTTATTATCTATCATAGTCTCTTCATTATCTATCTATCTATCTATCTCAGTCTCTTCATTATCTATCTATCTATCTATCTATCTCAGTCTCTTCATTATTATCTATCTATCTCAGTCTCTTCATTATCTATCTATTTCAGTCTCTTCATTATCTATCTATTTATCTCAGTCTCTTCATTATCTATTTATCTATCTATTTATCTCAGTCTCTTCATTATCTATCTATCTATCTCAGTCTCTTCATTATCTATCTATCTATTTCAGTCTCTTCATTATCTATCTCAGTCTCTTCATTATCTATCTATCTATCTATTTATCTCAGTCTCTTCATTATCTATCTATTTCAGTCTCTTCATTATCTATCTATCTATTTATCTCAGTCTCTTAATTATCTATCTATCTCAGTCTCTTCATTATCTATCTATCTATCTCAGTCTCTTCATTATCTATCTATCTATCTATCTCAGTCTCTTCATTATCTATCTATTTCAGTCTCTTCATTATCTATTTATCTATCTATTTATCTCAGTCTCTTCATTATCTATCTATCTAGTCTATTCTATCTATCTATTTATCTATCAGTCTCTTCTATATCTATCTATTTATCTCAGTCTCTTCATTATCTATCTATCTATCTATTTATCTCAGTCTCTTCATTATCTATCTATCTATCTATTTATCTCAGTCTCTTCATTATCTATCTATCTATTTATCTCAGTCTCTTCATTATCTATCTATCTATCTATTTATCTCAGTCTCTTCATTATCTATCTATCTATCTATTTATCTCAGTCTCTTCATTATCTATCTATCTATCTATTTATCTCAGTCTCTTCATTATCTATCTATCTATCTATTTATCTCAGTCTCTTCATTATCTATCTATCTATCTATTTATCTCAGTCTCTTCATTATCTATCTATCTATTTCAGTCTCTTCATTATCTATCTATCTATCTATTTCAGTCTCTTCATTATCTATCTATCTATTTATCTCAGTCTCTTCATTATCTATCTATCTATCTATCTCAGTCTCTTCAAGCTATCTATCTCAGTCTCTTCATTATCTATCTATCCATTTCAGTCTCTTCATTATCTATTTCAGTCTCTTCATTATCTATCTATCTATCTATTTATCTCAGTCTCTTCAATCTATCTATCTATCTATATGTTCGTTTATTTCGTTTTCATTCACTATTTATATATCGCTGTCTCTATCTAGCTTGAGTGGCATCATTTTTTTTATTATTGAGAGGGAGGTCGCAATCTGAGCTTTTTTCTTTACTTACCTACCCACTTAACGATTTACTTACCTAATCATCTATCTATCTATAGATAGAGACATAGATAGATGAAGTGAGAGAAAGAGACTATTTTAAATAAACACACACACAAACACACACACACACATATATATATATATATATATATATATATAGAGAGAGAGAGAGAGAGGGGGTGAGAGAGAGATTGAAAAGACAATGCGTACAATAAGATATGTATATACCCGAGACTGTTGACATATATATATATATATATATATATATATATATATATATATATATATACCTATCTTTCTATGTGTTTATAATTTTCTATGCATTTGTCTAATCTACATTTTGTCCATCTTTCTCTGTTTCTTTAACTTCACAATCTATCTATCAATCTGAATCACTTCAAATCTATCTATCTATCTATATGAAACAGTTAACATATATCTATCTATCGATCTATGTGAAACAGTTAATATGTATCTATGTGAAACAGTTAACGTGTATCTATCTATGTGAAATACTTAACATATATCTATATATCGATCTATGTAAAACAGTTAACATGTATCTAATTCTCTATCTCTCTCACTCATTCTGTTCATATCTTCCCATATATCAGTCTGTTCACATCTATCTCCTTTTTTCTCTCTTGTCGTACCTTTCTCTCTGTCTCTCTATCTCTCCCTCTCTAATATACACACTTTCTCACTGTCCTTTTCTTTACTCACCCTTTCTATACACAGTTTTTTTTTGTTTTTTTTCTCCCGACGCAACAAGCTTCCAGTCGAAGAAATATCGTTATAGAAGTTCAATTCAATAAAGAAGATCGTTTATTCAATCAACTGACTGTTGCCCAAATCAAAGAAACAAATGCCGAGACAGTAAACAATTTGCTTATTTTTTTTAAAACAATATTCTTTTCTTTTAGCAAGTCAGAAATCGTTGAAACAATTGAAGACGAAAAAGACGATGAACGGCCCAGCTAATTATGAAGTCGTTTAGAGCTTCTTCTATTCGCATTAAGCTAATTAGGTGTTGATATGTCTATGTACAAATGCGAAAAGATCGTGACTGTATTAGTGGCGAACAATAAGACAACGAGAAGAACACAATAGTCACTAGGGTTTCGAGGACTTAAATAAGATAGAAATAAGAGTTATATATATATATATCTATATATCAAAAGAGAGACAGACAGATATGTGTGTGTGTGTATATATATATATATATATATATAGAGAGAGAGAGAGAGAGAGATACAGATATATATATATATATATATATATATATATATATATGTTATGGGACCTTACCCATAATAACATAATGGACTATTCCATACGTAATAAATATTGCGCCTCAAGAGGAAGCAGGGAGTTCAGCCTGGAGTGAAGTCCGTCAGGAGTCTGTCAGTCAGTCAGAGCGAGCGAATCAATCAGTCGAGTCAAGAGTCGAGTCAGAGGCAGTCCGAAACAGAGTCGCGTTCAGACAATTACTACAAGACATTGGCATAGTGATACTGATCGAGACTACATTGTTCTCTCTACTGAACCTGCTTGTTCATACTAACACTTTCTACTTCTCTGTATATATTCCTGTTTGTAATATATCTGTGTTATTCCATACCTGTGTTCGAGTTCTTCTTTAATGGTTCTACCTTGGACTATCCCCGTGGTACAAGGAACCGGACCATAACATATAGATAGATAGATAGATAGATAGATATGGACATAATGAAACAAAAGGGAAAACGTATTTCCACCAGGTCTCATTATTTCTAAATTGTTTTTGATACTATTATTAATCCTAATAATACACACACGCACACAGAAACACACAGAGAAACACAGACTCAGAGAAACACAGAGAGAGATAGAAAGAAACATACGTACAGAGAGAGAGAGAGAGAGAGAGAGGGAGAGAAAGAGAGAGAAACACACATACACAGGTTAAGTATTTTATTTAACTTTTCTTGTGTTTTTATAATAATTCGTCTTCTTCGTTGTACATAAATGATGTAGAAATTGTTCGAATGTTCTGTATGTCCAAGCGCTAATGACAATGAGATAGATAGATAGATAGATAGATAGATAGATAGATATGGTGGTGA